CTAAGATTAACCAAGAATATAAAAATTCTCTCTTTTGTATCTCAACAAGCTCCCACAATTCTACCCGTGAATTCACAGTATGTTCATACTTTCCAAATGAATAAACTTTACACAAAAATACAAAGAAACCATCAAGAATGTAAAAGCCCAGCAATGTTTAAGCTTTCTGAAACTACGGACACCCAAGATAAATACTCAATTCTGACTTCCGTAAGATTGTCCACAAACACACACCATCGGCATGCGCTTATGGACTGTAGGAGTTAACCTGGGGATGAACTTTCCCACAAACCAAAATGCACATGTATGCGACATCCATGTACAGCAGGTGTAACCACCTAGGGAAGCTAGGCCCGTGTTTCACTATAGGATGAGGCAGTGGTTATTAATTCTTTGATAGAATTATATTATTAGAGATTCTAAAGAGAACATAATAATCACTACAGGTCTCTGAAATGAGGCCAGCCTGGTCTACGTAGAGGAGAGAGACAGAGAGAACCTGTATTTAAAAAAAAAAAAAAAACAGGTGGTGGTGGCACATGTCTTTAATCCCAGCAGTCAGGAGGCAGACAGGCAGATCTCTGTGAGTTCAAGGCCAGCCTGGTCTACAGAGTGAGTTTCAGGACAGACTCCAAAGCTACAGAGAAATCCTGTCTTGGAAAATTAAAAAAACAAAAACTACTGCTACTCTTGAAGAGTTCTTCTAGAACTGTTGCCAGAACCAATTAAGACAAACAGATATACACCATCTAAAATCCCAGTACTCACTCAGGAAGCTGAGGCAGGAGTATTGCGCAGAGTTTAAAGCCAGTTTGTGCTACAGAGTTAAGGGAGAATTTAAAAAACTAAAATGCCTATTGTTAACTAAATGCTTGACATCATGTCTCAAATCTCACTCATCAGGTCACTGGTTTCTAACACTTCATGTGTGAAAACATGATGACTTACTACAGATGAAGACACAGAAAATAATGTAGGTAAACCTCCAAAGGAAATAATTCATAAACAATAACCAGAGACTTACAAAAGGAAAACTTCAGCCTATCAAAATCTCTTCCTGGAAAAATGTGTTCCTGGAATATAGACATTCAAACCATATTTCTACTTGTTTTTGAGAGTGTCCCACTACACAGTCCAGGCTATCTACACCTCACAACTCTCCTGCCTCAGTCTCCCAAGTACGTCCAAGGACACCTCCAAGCCCAGTTAGACCATATTTCTTTAAAAGGAAATAGTTCCCATGAGGAAAGTTCACCTGCTTGCCACCTTACCAATTTAATTCTAGCACTTCCCATTATCCTTGACAGCAGTTCACTGCTCTGAGTGATGTCTGTTGGGGAATACATCGTTTGTCTCCACAGGATGTCCTCCATGGGTGGAGTGCTTGTCCAGCATGCTCCAGTCCCTGTGTCCCATTCCTAGCACTGCATAAAACCAGGCAGAGGAGCAGAAATTCAAGGTCATCCTCAGCTACTTGCGAAGTTTAAATCCCTGTCTCGAAGTTTTTTAAAGTTATAAGTCTGTTCCTTCAAAATGAAAAATGGTAGAAAGAAATGATAAGCAACAACTACTCTGAATTTTTATGAAGTTTTCCTGCAGAAGATTTTATGTACTGGAGTCAGAATTAAAAGAAGCAATTTCAAGTATCTTAATCCATGTCTTCTTTCTTCGTGAAACAGTAAAATAGCTACAAGTAGCCACTAAGAAATCTTGATTTCTCTATACATTGTTTTCAATAATCTCTGTATTCAGTACATGAAATCTAAATTTAATGCCTATATATATATTCATTGTTATTTCAGGGCCATAATTAACAAAAACAATCTAAATTAATAACTTTAATAAGATGCCACTATTCCAGAGTAATCAAGAAAACTGAATCAGTCACCCAGAAATCAGGCAAATGATGTTTCAGATCTAAACTTGAGGTCTATAGCGAGCTAGGGAATACAGCTCATGACAGAGACATTTAGCATAGGTAAAGGATGGGACGATTCAAGTGTTAAAAAAAGAAACACGAGGGGCAGTGGGGATGGCTCCAGGTATAAAGCACTTCCTGTGCAAGCTAACAATTTGGATCCCCAGAAGCCAGGAAAGTATACATAAACACAATAAATATGAAGCTAGACTGGTCACAGCAGTATATGCATACCTCTAATCCCAACAGAGGCAGGACCAGTCTCTGTGAGTTCAAGGCCAGCCAAGTCGACACAGCAAGTTGCAGACCAACCTGAGCTTCACAGAGAAACTGTCAAAAAAGTATACAGCTATATAAAATCATTCTCTTACATGATTTAATGTGTAAATTGTACTGCTATACAAATAGTTTCTTAAAAAAACAAAATAAAATTTGCTACAAATGGTACTAGAGCTATATCATAGCAGTGAAGAACATAAATAATCTCCCAAAGGAACCATGTCTGAGTCCTGGCATCCACTTCATGGCTTACGTATGTTTGTAACTCCTGTCCCAGAGTACTCTAAGGACATTGCACACATCTGGTGTACAAACATATACACAAGCAAACACACATAAAATGAAACTTTGAAAACTTTAAATTTTAAAAAATGCTATAAACAGCAACAATAGGAGCTAAACCTACTTATATTTCCCAGGCCTAGACAAGTAAAGTCAGTGATTATATAGTCTACAGCATTGAAGTCATCTGAAGTGAGGATAATGAATGGTACAGGAAATATAAATACATGCAATTAATATAAGAATATAAAATATACTACAATAGTAAGAAAAATAAATTTCATTTTCAAAATTTCTTTTTAATTTTCCCTTTTAAAATATTCCCAAATAAGAAATCAAACTTAGGGCTCAGGAGATAGAGATGACAGTGAGGCAGACAACCTGAATTCTAGCTTTAGTTCCCATAGTACCAAGAGAGCTGACTCCACACATTTTCCTCTGGCCTCTGCATGAGTGTCCAAATTAAATCTGCATAGAAAGAGTAAATTGTTTTGCTTAGTCTTGTTTTATAACAAACTCTTACCAACTAGCCCAGGTAGCCTGAAACTCACTGTATAGGCCAGGCTGACCTTGAACTGACAGGTGGTCCTCCTACCTCTGCCTCCGAAGTGCTGGGATTGCAGACTTGTGCCACAGACTACCACACTTAGAAAGTTTAGATTCTTATTTAAACATATAGGACTGTTACGCTATATTGAGACTACTTTCATAGGCCATATTCAAACTGCTAATGGACTAAATTCTAAATTATAGTAAATATTTACTATTACCTCAGAAGCTGGTGCTTTATGCTTTTTATGTTTTATAAATGTCCTGAAAGGCTGTCTTCTTATTAAACTATACCATCACAAAGTGTTAAAGCAAGCTCAAGTTAAATTATACTAAGACTTAATACTGAATAAGGTAGTAATTATGAAAATGTATTTTAAGCATTTTTAAGTTTATGGAAAAAAAGCATTGAGAATGGCTACACCTGATATGGTAATATGAATGAGAATGAAGCTCCTCAAAGATTGATATATTGGAATAATTCATTCCTAGTTGGTGACCAAGGATTAGGATTAGGGAAGGATTAGAGAAGTGATCTTGTTAGAGAAGCCAGTTACTGGGGACATGCTTGAGATTGCTAAAGCCTCCCACCATCCCCTGCACGCTCTCTCAACCTCCTGAGCTCCCAGCTGTTGCTACTGCCATGCCTTTTCTCCACCCTTATGGACTTTACCCTCTGGAACCATAAACTCAATTAAACACTCTTGCTTATAAATTGCCTATAAATTGGTTACCTCTAATCCAGTGTTAGCTGGTTTGTGAGGGACTCAAGATGAGAATGCACCTGACCCATACAGACATTTCACCACGGGAGAAAACACCTAAAGACATCTAAAATCCAGAGGTGTTCCAAGTCCAGATGTGATGGCTCAAAGCCCCATTTGTCTCACTGGGATCTGGAACCCCATTTAAAGAAGCATGCAAATAAGGTCATGCTCCAGCTGAAGACTATGAAGTATTCCAACCTCTCCAAGGACACTGTCATGGTTCCTACTTGTACAAGTGTGGGCCAGCAGAGGCAGAATGAATGTCAATGCTTCAGCAAGCCATGAAGGCTTTAGAACTAGACCCAGGAATGAAGTGAGGCCAGTTTCCACTGGAGATTATGACATCGAGATTAGGCTTTGGCCAGTGTTGAAATGGTTCTGGCCACCTTGCCTGCCACCTGCTACCTCTTGGTGGCCATCATGGACTCTTAAGTCACTGGTGTTTTATCACAATAGAAAAGTAACTAAGACAGGAACATTTGACAAACAACCAGTTTTCTTCAGAAATATGAAGGCAGTAAGAGAATGTACTGAGGAACTGTCATAAATTCTCACACACTACAAAAACAAAGCACTTAGATATAAAGTGGGACACTGAGATAGACCCTGGCACAGAAACAGGAACTTATAGGGAAACAGTGTAAAACTCAAGCCAGATACACAGTTTAAACAGCAGTATCACAAAGGTGCTAACATTTCGCATTATTTATCAAAGTACAATCATGTAATTAATGTGTTGATACAAAAGGCTAGGTAAAGAACTTATATGAACTTTCTATAGCTTTTCATTTCAAAATAAAGGAGGTTTTAAGGTTACTTTAAAATATACTACCAGGGCAGGAGAGATGGCTCAGTGGGTAAAGGCACCTGTCATCAAGCCTGGCTTAAGTTTGACCCATGGGATCCCACAAAGGAAAAGAGAGGAATCCTCACCCACAACTGTCCTCCGACTTCCAGATGTGTACCACTGCATATGCATGCCCACACATATACACACACAAAATGTAATATAAACAAACAAACAAAAATAAAAGGCGAAAAGTATGATGATCAGCTATCTAATAACGTATAGTAGCTATTAGAGTCCTACCTTCAAATCATTAAGTTACACTAAAATACTATTAAATTGCTGGGGCTAGACTGCCTGTCTCCAAAATCTGCAACTCTGAAATTTAATCAATAAAATACATTATGGGTCTCATTACCTGTAATTTTATAGCCATAGGCAGCCAGCTGTCCAGCCATGTATTCTCCATCTGAATTATTATGTGAGCAGCCCCATGTTCGTATCCAAATTTTCTGTATGCCTGGAATAGTGCTGTTAAGTAATCAATTAAAACAAAGTGAGTATCTTTAAGTGATTTTTAAAATAAAAGCCACTAGATGACTTCAGGGCACATTACCCCAAAAACAAACTGGAATCAATTCACAATCTAGCTTCAAAATGCATCAGCTGAATTTGAAATTTGCTGTTACAACAAAACTCTAAAATCAAAGAACAGTGACCTGGCTCAGCGAATAAAGATGCTTGTTGCACAGGCCTGGAAACCACAGAAAAGTGGAAGGAGAGAACCGACTCCACAGAGCTGTTCTCTGACCTCATATTCACCATGGCACTCACGGTCACACTTATTGCTCACTAATCTTATTTCAACTTCACAAACTGGAGTCATCTAAAAGTAGGGTTCAACTGAACAAAAATGCCTCTATAACATCTGGCTGTAAGACATTTTCTTAATTAGTGAATGGGAGGAAGGGGTACAGCCCATTGTGGGTAGTGCCATCCCTGGGCTGGCAGTCCTGAGTTCTAAAAGAAAGCAGGGTAAGCAAGCCAATAAGCAGCACCCCTCCATAGCCTTTGCATCAGCTCCTACCTTCTGGTCCCTGCCTGTTTGAGTTCCTGTCCTCACTTCCTTTAATGATGAACAGTAATATCAAAGTATAAGCCAAATAAACCCTTTCCTCCCCAAGTTGCTTTTTGGTCCTGGTGTTTTATCACGGCAACAGAAACCCTAACTAAGACACACTTATACACATTATGCACAGAGACACAATAGTAATAAGCAAAATGTTTAAAAACTAAAATACCCCCAGAATCACAAGAAGAATCTCTATAATTTAAAAAAAAAAAAAAAATGTCCTTTCACATCTCTTGTCAGAAAATTCCAATCCTGGGAATGGGTTATCTCTAATTGAGTTGTTGGACAAAGGGGTCCCATGGAAACTCCCAAACAACTCGGGCTATTAGTTTCCTAGATTGCTCTCCACAAGCTTATAGTGAGGCCCTGTTCTGAAGACAACATGGAGAAGTAGAGCTGGTGCAAACCTGGGCCTTAACCCCTGCTGACTAATGTTCGGGGCACTGAAAGGTGCTATGCATACTACTCAAGGAGAAGGGTGAACACTAACCCAGCTAACTTCAATCTACAGAGGTGACCTGCATACAAGATGCACTAGTACAATAGTGGCACAAGGTTTATGGGGCAAACCAACTAATATCTGGTTGGATTTATGGCATACTCCATTAGAAGTAACCCATCTCCAATACTGCTCAGGTGGCCAAGAATCAATCTGAGAACTGATAGGCCAGGGACCTAGGGTAAAAAAAAAAAAATACTACTGTTCTATTTAAAGAATGTATCAATAAAATGACTACTAATGACATTCTGTTGTACTCATAGGTCAGTGCCTTTTTGTTTTACCGTACTATACTTTATCATTAGTATCCCTTAGAAGCCTATTTGTTTTCTAATGAGAGACAGAATGGGGATAGAGCCAGATGGGAGAGGAGGTGGGGAGGAATGGGGGAATGAGGAAGAGCAGAAGGAGGGGAAACCATAACCATAATATATTATGTGTGAAAAAAACAATTTTCAATAAAAGGGGGGGAAGCGTCCTTTTGTACCCATGAGAAAATTCAGCAAGTGAACATACCTGCCACCAAGCCTGATGACCTGAGTTCGATCCCAAGATACACATTAGAGAAAGAAAACTGACCCCAAGTTGACCTCTGATACTCACTCATGTGCTTCAGTCATGTATTCATATGCACTCACACATGATAAATAAAATGTAATTTTTTAAAAATTCTAAGTACAAATAAAAATTGTCCTTTCATGCCAGGTGGCACACACCTATAATCCCAGCACTCAGGAAAAAAAAAAAAAAGGAAAATAAGAAGTTCAGGGCCATCAATGGACCAAACTACAAGAGATCTTGCCTCAAAACAAATTTTTCTCTGGATTGTAGATTTAATTCCTATTAACCATATCTACTGATGCAAAGATCTTTTAGAAAGATACACACAAATGATCACATGGAAAATAGTAGTAGCAGCAATAACACCCAGAGAAGAGGTAAGGGCTGTAGAGACGGTGAAGCCATGACAGTACTCTCCTTCAAGGATGAGGACCTGAGTTTGGCCTCCCAGCACCCAGATTAAAGTCAGATGGAGCAGCAGGCATCTGTAACCCCAGTGCTTGTGGGGAGAGAAGACAGGGGAATTAATGGAGCATACTGGCCCAGAAGCCTAGTCAAATTAATAGCTCCAAGTTCAGTGATAGTTCCTGTCTAAAGAAATAAGGTGGAGAGCAATCAAGGAAGACACTGGATATGACCTATAGCATGAGCATGTGCACACATACAATACACACAAACATGCGCACGCACATGCACGCGCACGCGCGCGCACACACACACACACACACACACACAAAGGCACCTGCACACTCTCATGAACATACACAATATAAAAAATATATAAAAAAATAAAAACAAAGTCTGATGGCCTATTCATTCACAGACTCTTAAACACTAGTTGCAACCTTTATCCATTTAAAATTTACAGATAAAAAAAATCAAAATTGAAAATTTCATGATTAAAGTTACTCCACTGACAGGTTTCTAAACTATTTATTTAGGAAGGAAAGAAGACTCCCCTTTCACTAAAAAAACAAGCACATTCTAAGTGCACAGGTTTGAAAAGCTTAATAATCTAAACAAAGTAATCATTAAACCTTCCACACTTTACTAGATATACAATTATGAGCTAATTATGACTGTACAACTGTGTGATTGTTCCCCACCACAATAGTGTAAACAGGAGAATGATCTTTTTGCGCCCAGTGCCTTTGTCTGATTCCTGAGTATTCACTAATATGCTAAGAATAATCAGATGTCCAAAACACCACTAAAGCATAAGAATTACAAACTTCAATAAAAGTTTTCATTTGCAATTACAACAGGCTTAATACTGACTATAATCAAATCTAAATGACCCCTAGTACCCTATCCCTTTCCTTCAAAGAACATACAATCTGGAGTTTTGTTTTGTTTGTAACGAATTCTTGGAAAATTCCCTACAATGTATTTAGATTATCCCCCAACTCCTCCTAGACCCATTCTCTATAACCTTGGTATTTCTCCTTTTTAACTGCTTACCAGATTTAAAACCATTCAATTTTTAAAAACTATGTTTCCTATTTTAAATGTGAAGATCTTAAAACTGGAGTACTCCACATAAGGTATATATAGGCCAGCTGTGCCAACCTCTCCCCTAGATGGATAGGAATGTAACCCTGAGAATGCTTACCTGTCACTTGGTGGCCTTGGCTCCTCTTGCAAATGTTTTTGGGTATTCCGCCTTCGTGCTTTCGGAAACACATGCTTTCTTGAGAAATGTCTGTCTTGTGGCTTTGAATCTTCCTGTGAGATGATGTCTTCTATGTCATCCAGCAGTGCATCACAGGATGCAGAAGGCATCTTCTGTAGCACATAAAAAAGTGACAAATAGCCCAGGATAATGAACATCTGCTTGGCATTGTACTAGTAAACAATTCTCACCAACCTTGAATCTAACGAACTCTTTGAAGCCTAAGTTCACAGAAAACATAGGAGGATGAACCCAAAGAAACAACCATGCAAGTCCTGCACAGAGTGGAATTTGCCGTGACTGAACTGTAACTAATACCGTGGAGGAAAAAGTAGGACAGGGCCTTTTCAAGGAAAGGAAAATGAGATAAAACAACTCCCCTCAGCTACTGCTGCTGAGGCCAATAACCATCAAGGCCTCCAGTGCTGTGAGGAAACCTCAAGTGCCACTGACTGGTGGGGCTGGAAAGATGGTGGAGCAGATAAGAGAATTTGTTGCTTCTGAAGAGGGCCCAGTTTCCATTCCCAGCACCCACATGGAGGCTCACAATTATCCTAACTCCAGTTCAGGGGATCTGACATCTTCTGACCTCCTTCAGCACCCAGCACACTTTGAATGAACACACATACAGATAGACAGACAAAACACTCATACATATAAAAATATTTTTATATTTGTATGTATATGTGTATGTATATATACACACGAGCGTGCACGTGTGTGTGTGTGTGTGTGTGTGTGTGTGTGTGTGTGTTCATGACTCACTAAACAGCTATGTCAATCAAAACTATTATTGGTAAACGCCTACAAAATATTACTATAATATCAAAACCAAGTAAGACACACACAAAGAAAGAAAACTACCGTTTCTTTTGCTGCTCCTCTGAAGAGACAGGCAGGTCTTTACCTATTTTTCTCTCCTCCCCACCCCCCCCATCTCTTTCTCCCCTCTCTTCCTTCCTTTCCCTTCCCTTACTCTCTTCCCTTCCCCCAATAAAACTTCCCAATTAGAATGAAAGGAAAAAAGACAGACAGACAGAAAGAAAGGAAGGAAGGAAGAAGACTACCAACCAATATCCCTGACAAATACGGATGTTAAAACCATGAATAAAATATTTACAAACAAAACATGGATATATCAAAAAATAAATAAATAAAATAAAATCAAGTTGGATTTATCTCAAAGATTCAGTTAAATGTAATAAATCATGTAAATGAATTAAAAGGCAAAAAACACGTGATTATCTCAATTGACATACAAAAAAACCTTTGACAAAATCCAACATCCCTTCAAGATAAAAGTTCTAGATAAAGAGATAAAATGTTGATTTAGCAGATAAAACCTGCTGCAGAAGTTGTTTTCTTGCAGAGGACCTGAGTTCCCTTCCCAGCACCCACAGGATCACTCACAACTATCTACAACTCCAGTTCCAGTAGGGCTAAAGGAAATATCTCAACATACTTAAAGCCATAACAAACCCAGAGCTACCATTATTCTACATGGAAAAGAACTCAAATCAACCTCATTAAAATAAAAATTCAAGAGAGGGCTATCCACTATCCCCCTTCTTTTTCAATAAAGAGCTTGAAGTTCTAGCCAGGGTAAGATAAGAGAAGGAAATTAAAAGGAAGCAGACAAGAAAAAAATCAGTCAACATACCCGTATTTGTGATGATATGATATTATATATAACAGATTCCAGAAGTTCCAGCAGAAAAGTTTTAGAAATGACATATACTTTTGGGCAAAGTGGAAGAATAAAAAAATTAACTTATAAAAATCAGTAGTCTCTACATACCAATAACATATTTGCTTGGGAAAAGTCACAGAAACACTCCCATTCACAATATCCTCTAAACAAAAATAAAAACCAAGGAACTGAAAGACCTCTACAATGAAAACTTTAAACCTCTGAACAAAGAAGTTCAGGAAGACATAACTAAATAGAAAGACTTTCCAATGCTCATGAAATTGGCAGACTTAGTATATATACTGCCAAACAGAATTAATACTATTAACCATCTTACCAAAAGCAATTAACAGGTTTAGCTCATTCCCAATCAAAATACCCAAAACATTGTTCACAAAATTAGTAAAAACTAAATCCTAAAATTCATACAAAAATAACAAAAAGACCCTGAATATACAAAGCAATCCTGAGAGGGAAGGAGGGGAGGACACAAGGAACGGAGGGAGGGAGGGAGGGAGGGAGGGAGGGAGGGAGGGAGGGAGAGAGAGAGGGAGGGATAAAAATGAATGCTGGAGGGATTTTAAATCCAGATTTCAAGATATATTGCACATACTGGAACAAAAACAGACATGTAGATGAATGGAGCAAATCAGAAGATCCAACCATAATGCATGTACCTACAGTCACTTGATATTTGACAAAGATGCCAAAAATACACCCTGAGAAAAGACAGCATCTCTAACAAATGATGCTTGGAAAACTAGATGACCACATGCAGAAGAATGAAATTAGAGCACAGAAATCAACTCCAAATGAGTCAAAGACCACAGTGTAAAATCTGAAACTGCTAGAAGAAAACATAAGCATTACATACAAAATATAAGTGTAGGAAAGGACTTTTGGAGTAAGATTCCACTCAAGAATTAAGGCCAATAACTGACAAATGGGACCTCATAAAACTAAAAACTTTTAGCAAAGGAAATAATCACCAAGAGGAAAACTACAGAATGGAGAAGAATTTTGCTAGCTAAACATCTGGTCAAAAAAAAAAAAAGAAAGAAAGAAATCAAGAAAACAAATAATCAAATTTAAAGATGGTATACAGATCTAAACACAGTTCTCAAAAGACTAAATAACAATGGCTAAGAAATATTTCAAAAGTGTTCAACAACCTCAAAAATCGGTGAAATGCAAATTAAAACTACTCATAAATTTCATCTCACCCCAGTCACAACTGCTAAGATCAAGAAAACAAGTGACAACGAACCAACAAACATAGAGGCCATGGGTAGAGAGGAATGCTCACTCACTGTTGGAGGACCCGCAAACTAATAAAGTCATTCTAGAAATCTGTGAAAAATTCTCAAAATACTGAAATCAGTTCTACCATATGACTCAGCCATACCACTCCTTGGAAAAATACTCAAAGAACTCGACATCCTACTTTAGAGATATTTGCTCAGCCATGTTCACTGACTCTAGGCTTGGTTTGGGGACTTTGTTTTGTGGTTGAGTAAGCTCAAGCATGAAGTTCCCAACAATGTCCCCTTCTCCCTGCACTGCCATGAGATGCCACTCTACTGAAATTTCACTACTTGGAAGTGAGCATTCTGTTACTTCTTCCATTTAAAAAACAAAATGCCAAAAACTCTCTCAGGAAAAAGAAAAAAAACAAACAAACTTCTTAGCTCCCCTATAGTTCTCTCATTTGAAGAAACTTCAAGAGTCATCTACATTTATACAATCATCCCCCACCTCCATTCTCAGATTATGGCCATCACACAACCAAAATTGTCTGGTTTAGATGGCACACAACGATATACCATGAATGATTCCCAGTCATCTTATGAGACACAATTTGCAACATGTGACACAACCAACTACCCTCCTTGAAGCATTTCCCCATGGTCATCAGGCTGCCACACTCTCCTAGGTCTCCTACCACAGAGCCATATACCGAGTGTCTTTGGCTTGTTGCTCATCATCCCAGCTTCTCAACCCTGGAATAGTCCATGGCTCCATTACAGGAATTCTCCTCTACAGTCACTCCATGGTGATTTCATCACTCAGAAGCCTTGAAATGCCAACACTATGCTTATATAACTGCCTGCCCTTCCCCAGAACCTCATACTCAGATATGCAAATCACTGCCTGAGTGAATAAAGACAAATCAAACAGCAGAACTTCTGGTCCTTTCTCTATCTCACCACATCACCTCACAGCCCTCCCTCTTTCCTTTAAAGGCAATCTCCCAAAACCCTAAAATTATCCCTGGCTCCTTTTGGCATTCTCCCTAGATCCAATCCACCAATAAATTCTGTTGGCCTCTCTCAAAACATACTGAGGCTCTGTATGTGAGCATTCTCACATATGTGATATTTATGATCCAAGCCATCACTTTTTAATTATTTTTATTTATTATGTGCACCGTGAGTGTCTGAGTGCAGGGATGCTACGATGCTACATGGTACCTGTATGAAGGTCAGAGGACAACTTGCAAGAGTAACCAAACCCCTTACCCCATCCCCATACTCAACATCACTCTTATTTTTATTGTTGATATTGTCCGAGTTGGTTGGTTTGTTTTGTTTTGTTTTGTTCTGTTTTGTTTTGTTTTTTGAGATAGTGTTTATGTGTAGCCCCCACTGTCCTGAACACACTGTGTAGACCAGGCTGGCCTCAAACTCAGAGCTCCATCTGCCTCTACTTTGAGGCTTAAAGGTGTCCCCTACCACTGCCTGGGTGTTTTTTGTTGTTTTGGTTCATTTTTCAACTGCAGCATTTAATCATCTGCCCTGTTCTATAGAACACACCCCTGTTAAGAGCAAAGATTTGACGTGCTTTGCCCTGGTTTACCTAAGGTGCACAGGACTGTACCTAACACACTGCAGCTTCTCAGTGGGGGATTTACCACGGACCACCCCGTCAACAAAGCATGGGCCTCGCTACCTCTGTCTGAGTTACTTTTATCATTGCTGTGACAAAGTACCTACAAAAAAAATGGTTATTTGGGCTCACACTTGAGAAGATACAGTCCATCCAAGCAAAGAAGGTTTAGTGGCATTAGATGGCTCATCACATGACACTACAGTCAGGAAACAGACAGGGATGAATGTGTGTGCACATCAGTCTTAATTCAGTCTTGAAGTACAGTGCATGGGATGGTGCTGTCTACACGCATGACTGGAATTCCTTCATCATCTGAACTTCTCTGGAAATCTTCTCACAGATATACCCAGAGTTCTGTCTCCTAGGTGAGTCTAAATCTGTTAAGTCGGTAATGACTAACCATCACAACTTGCCACTGTCCCTACTGTACTAACCTTCAGACATGCTGAATAAGCCAAACTAGGTTTTCACACATGCTGCTCCTCAACTGGAGTCTCATCTGCAAGGCTTACTGCAATACACATCCAAAGACACTTTAAGACAGACCTTTCCCAACAACCTTAGCTAAAATGACCACATTGCCCAAGGGCATACAGTCTAACTCTACTGTGTGATGTGATTTTCTTCACGTAATTAACTACCTGATACCATGGGATAACTGCACATTTCATACTACAGCTTAACATTCATAAGCACTAAAGCATTGTCTCACTTTCACTGCCAGCACCTCCAACAATGCTGGCCCACAGCAGGCACACCAGACTTAATGACTACATAAATAATGTTTGATAATGTTAAACTTAACTAAGAGGAAAACCTTATGCAGAACGGAATCTGAGATGAAAACTTAACCCCTTGGGTTTCTTCTATCAATATAATACTACACTATAATAGTGAGGAAGGCTAACCAGAGAGCACCTTTGAACATTAGCAAGAACTACTGAAGGATTGTGACTGATTTAAATGCCACATTAAAAGTCAATAGCTAAACAACGTTGTTAGTGAGTTAGGGAGCACTGTGAACACACAAAGCTAGAGGACTTGTACACTGATAAAGTTAGAGTCTAGGCCTTCTCTCAATAATGGAAAAGCACAAACTGTGTAAGAGTTAAATATAATACTGAGAAGTAAACATCCCAGAAAACAAAAGATTCCTTTAAGAAAACACCAATAAAAACAGGATCAAATACTCAACTACACAAGCAATAAATATTTAAACAATGAGTTACCTATCATTACCTTGATGAGAAATTAGACTAGCAGAATCCCTGTGGCTCCCTAAAATCATGGCACAACTAGTATAGTCTTTCTGCAGAACCACCTGCCAATACCTCACAAACCATACAACACACACATCTTTCATCCAGCAATTCAATTACTAGAATTTTACTTTAAAGAGTCAAATCAATGTAATGTAATACAGACATTCCTAAATCTGACTCTATATCATAATCACTTTCACAGTCTCACTAATCACTATGAAGAAGCTAAAGTTTTACTTCAGACAAGCTGGTACATAAAAAGGTCTAAGTCCTCAAAAACATTTAAGTACCATGAAAATGGATTTTAAGGAGAAAAGGTAATAGTTAAATAAAGCAAAAAGATATATCAAAAATTCTTCTCAAAAGCACAGGAAGTCAAGTTGCATAGAAAAAGATAGAAAGAATAGAAAGATAGTAAGGATAGGTAAGGTAGAGTGGTGGTTTCTTGGGGGGCCCCCCCCCCCCCCCCCCCCCCCCCCCCCCCCCCCCGGCCCCTACACAGTGGATTAGATTAATAAGGAACTTTTCATAAGAGCAAATACCCAGAACCATGAATTTCCAGTAGCAACAGTCCTAGATCTTGAAGGCTCATTTTGGTTCCCTGAGGAACTTTTGAAAATTACTACCAACAACATGGGTTCAATAGGCAAAAGATCAAACGAAGAAGGAATACAGAAAAATGATTAACAACTAAATCCTAGGCCAGCTGAATCACTACCTAGGAATGGAACCTGAACATCAATATATTACTTTAAACTCCTAACAATTCTCTTATATGTGTAGCCAAGATCGCAAACCAATGTGCAGCATTAGTAGTTAGTTTTTTGTTTGATTGATTGGTTTTGTTTGCTTGTTTATTTGTTGTCGTTGTTTTGTTTTTTGAGACAGGGTTTTTCTGTATTGCTTTGGAGGCTGTCCTGAAAACTAGCTCTGTAAACCAGGCTGGCCTCGAACTCACAGAGATCTGCCTGCCTCTGCCTCCTGAGTGCTGGGATTAAAGGCGTGCACCACCGTCTGGCAACATGAGTAGCTTCCACAGAATGATTTCCAGAACAGCAGCATTAGCATCAGGTAGAACTTGAAAGAAATGAAATCTTATGCCCTTACCATAGACATGCTGAATCAGTTATTCTGAATGAAGCCAGGTTCAACAAACCCTCCAAATAACTTTATCTGATAGTCATTGTTCTAGAGTTATTATTTCATAAAGACTAACAAGACGGAATGTCAAATAGACATTACTGAATCCAATGACTTTAACGTAAGTCTAAAAGCAATTCAAAGGGAGATAGAGCAGCCTTTTCAAGAAATGATACCAGAAGAACTAGACAGCCACACACAAAGAAACACAGCTGGAACCCCCTCTCACATCATACTCCAAAACTAACTCAAAGGAGTTACAGACTTAAATCTAGGAGACCTAATACTATGAAACTCATAATTTACACAAGTGTAAATCTTGCCAACATTCGACACTGGGTTCTTAGTTATAACACCAAAAACACAAGCAACGGGTCAGACTTCATCAAAATTAAAATGTGTGAGCCAGGCACAGTGGTGCATACTTGTAATTCCAGCACTTGGGATGGGGGGGCGGGAGCATGAGGAGTTACAGACTGTCCTCAGGTACAAATCAAATTTGAAGCTGATCTGGGCTATGTGAAACCTGTTTTCAAAAAAAAAAAAAAAAAAAAAAAAAAAAAGGAAGGAAGGAAGGAAAAAATGATTTTCAAGCTTCAAAGACAACTTGAAGAACACAGTAAGTCATATAATGCAATAAGAGCAATCAAGAATTCAAAAATACAAGCAACCCAAATTAAAATAGGGGAAAGGTATATGAACAGACATATTTCCAAATAAAATATATAAATATCTGATAAGCACATGAGAGCTCTAAGCAAAATTAGCCATGAGGGAAAGGCCATTCAAACCCACAAAGATAGAGCAGTTCACACTCATTGAGACAACTAGAATCGTAAGGGCAGGTAACCATGTTAACAAATCACATCACAAGAAAAAAAATAATAATAGTCAGGCCCGGCATAATCATGCCCATCTTTAATCTCAGCACTTGGGAGCTTGGTCTCCATAGAGACATATTAAGACACTGTCTCAACTAAATAAATAAATAAAATGTTAAAAACCAAAAACAGAAGATAACCCAGCTAGAAGCACAAAAACATGCCTCAAAAATGCCCTATTTGGGCTAGAGAGATGGCTTAACAGTTAAAAGGACTCACTGTTCTTCCAGGGGACCCAGGTTCAATTCCCAGCACCCACATGACAACTCACAATTGTCTGTAACTCCAGGATTCCACACTCTCACACAGACATGCAGGCAAAATACAAATGCAACAACTAAAAAAAAAAAAGAAGAAGAAGAAAAGAAAAAGAAAGAAAGAAAACAGATGTGCCACAGACAGCATTGGGAGGGAACATGTCCATGCTACTTAATGAAAATGAGGAAGAAATACCAAAAAAGGTCTCTCTAATTTAGTTATATGGAAATCTAGTTTTCACAAAATGATGATACTAATTATTAAGGAATTGGGACATCTTTCTTCATATTCTAATGTGCAGCGATCATTCAAACGATTTAAAATAAACCAATACCTTGATTATCAGAAATTTGTTTCAAGTCCTCTTGAAAGTTGAATCTGAAAAAAATAAAATTAATTAGAAAATGTAAGTATCCTGTAAGACACAAAAAACACTGTAAGGCCTCTCTTTACAACTACCTTAAAAAAAAAAAAAAAAAATTAGCCGCGTCTGGCCACTGTGAAAACTTCCACCGCACTGTAACACCAGACAGAGCACAGTGAAATTCACCAAGTAAGAAACAAGTGTTTTCTTGAGATACAGAAGCGCTTGCTATGCAAAGAAACGGGAAAGTGAGGGTAGGAAAGGGGGGTGCAAAATCTCAAGTCACCTGCCCCTATGCCCAATTCAGTATAAAACCCCCATTTACTCAAAGCCTGGTCACGCAGCACAAGTCCATTCACCGGAAAAGTGGGGGAAGAAATGAGGCTAGACCAGACTGCAAGTCCCTGACTATGCAGCATCATCCGCGGCGACACGGGCCTCCCTCCGGGCAGCGCTCTGCCTCCGAGTCCCCATCCCAGCTGCCAAGTCTTTTCCAAACTGCGAAAACAAGCAAGCAATCGGCCCAAGAAGGAAAATCTGCGGGGATGAAACTCCGCCACAAAAAAGCAGCGCGGCCCACAGACGCTGGGCATTGGTACATTTGCCCCTCGTATCCACAAATCCGGAAATTCACCTGTCCAAAGTGAGAGGAAAAACCACACGCCACTGTCAGGAAACTACACAGACTTCAGATGGAGCGCGCCATGACACTTGTGTCCCGCCAGGCTGATTTGCGCATGCTCCGCGACAGTAGCCGGGAGAGGTCAAAACGACTCATTGTTTCCAGTTTGCGTAGGATTTTAATCTCATTAATTGTTACTAAACAGAAAAAAATACACTCGTCTGTCATTATATTCTCAGAGAAGCTTACCAAATAACTTCTGCTAAGCCAACAAGTAAAATCTGTCTTGGGCAGCTAAGAGATTAACATGAACATCTCCGCATTTATTATAACTATTCGTAGTTCACAAAAAGGAACTTGAGAATTTAAGTATTTCTCAGAGTAATTGCTCCCGGAATAAACCTTTTCATTACATTTTACCAGTTTCCTCCTCTAACTATCTCTATCTCTTTTGAGACAGCCTTTCTCTATGTAGCCCTGAATGCCCTGGAACCCACTATATGGACCAGGTTGGAATAGCCTGCCTTTGCCTCCCAAATACTGGCATTAAAGACATGCAAAACCATGCCCGGCTAATTTCCTCTGTTTCTATAGAAAATAATAGACAAGGAATGTTTTGTCTATCGAATAATAATAGAAGTCATTTAACACCAAGCAATTTAGGGGAGTCATTTGTTTCTAGGGAAACGTGGGGGTTCTTGTTTTTATTTGCTTGAATTCATTTAAAAAAAAAAAAAAAAAAAAAAAAAAAAAAGGAGAAGAGGTGGAGAGATGGCTCAGTAGTTAAGAGCAGTTAAGAGCACTGGCACTGGCTGCTCTTCCAGAGGTCCTCAGTTCAATTCCCAGCAACCACATGGTTGCTCACAGCCATCTGTAATGAGATCTGGTGCCCTTTTCCTCTACATAATAAATAAAGAAATCTTTAAAAAAGAAAAAAGTCTGGTATAGGTAGCCCAGGCTGACCCTCAAGCTCTTGATCTGCCTGCCTCTGCCTCCTACTGCAGAAATTACAGTTGTGACCCACTGCACGAAGCTTATATTTCTGCTTCTATGGAGATAATTAAGCCTACACAATCTGGATTCATTTAATAATTTTATAAAATACTTAAAAAATAAAACTTAATACTTTCCTTGCCAGTACAATAATTTCAAATAGAGCAAAAAGAAAAGAATGATATGAAAAAAATGAAATAAAATCTTGAAATGATGCAGATTTTTGTTGGATGGTAAATGACTTTGGTTTGGTTAGGTTTGGGCCTATGTATGGGGACCCAAGGCCTTTCTGCATGCTAAGCAAGTGTTTTACCATTGAGCTACAGCTACAGCCCCTACTTTTTTCATATTAGTCTCCATAGTGAAAATTGAAAGGAAAAGAAAAAAAAATGTGGGAATAATCAAGTCAGTGAATTCGTGTTATCCTCAATGGACAAAGAAAGAATAAATCCAAAAATTACAAAAATTTAGAAGCAGATTTAGCAATCTTCTATCGTACTAAGGAAATTAAACCAATCAATGACCTTTCCATAAACACACAATTCTTGTGTTTAATTTGTTCTTAGAAAGTCTGAAATGCATATGAATTGTCCATGCAGAGATTAGACAAATGTAATAGTAGCTGACTTAAGACAGATTAGTCTATTTGTTAGGTTAACAGGACAACTGTAAGTACTCTTAATTTGTGAAGTTCGGGAAGACACCATGCATTGGGCAAATTTGCTGTAATTTACATAGACTTTCAATAACCTCTGACCAAAATCCAGCTCCAGTTTATTAAGAAAAAAGGGATGGGTTATCACACAGGAATCGATGTTGGATGCAGGCACTGAGATCATATATGAGAAGTTGCCTGGCAGAATAAAGCTCCCCTGGCTGAAAACCGTACATCAACAGGGAATTTTGAAGAAAGATTTTTCAAGAATTGAATAAACCCAATAGCAAATAGGAGTTGTAGGAACAAAGAGAAAACACAAGGAATAATATTATCAATGTCTAAAGAAAGACTGCTTCAAGTGAATGAGTGATTCAGTACAGTGGGTAAGAGAGAAACACTGAAGTTCTTAAATGATGATAGACAATATGATGTGAAACCACTTATTGTCTTTGGAGGAATACTGCAGGGTCATCTCACAAACCAACCACTAGAGGTCAGAGTGCTGCGCTTCTGACACCAGCTATTCTGGTCTATCATTTCACATAAACAAGGTTGCTTTAATTCTTTAATTAATTCTCTCTTTCCACTCTCCCACTCTCAGCAAAGTGGTTAAGAGGCTATACAAGTGGACTGTGACCCTTGCCAGAACAATGAGAACACCACAGTCCCTTACCACAGAGCAGGTAACCTACACCAGGCCCAGAATTGGGGCTTTGTCATCTGCAAGAATATGAGGCTAAATCTCCCAGGGCTACCCCTTATCCCCCCCAAAAAAAAAAACTGCCAGTGACAAGGCTGTTTCAAAGGAAAAGCAGACGTGAACTATGATGAGAAAAAAGATCAGTAAATTCTAAAGACAATTTTAAGACCCTTGCTACCCAGCATACCCAGAGCTATCTTTATTTCTAAGTTGTTCAGTTTTTGTGAGCAAGTAAATCTCTACATTTTTCCCTTAAAGCAACCCAAATGCATTTCTACATCTTGCAACCAAAAGAATTGTTGATGTTGATGATGATGTTTTGGTTTTGGTTATAATGTTACTGGCTCTCAGGTACCCCAGACCTCTAGCTCCATACGTACTATGTAGCTAAGAATGAACTCAAATTTCTGATCCTCCTACCTCTTATCATTATGTAGTCTCCCAATATTAACTCACATCCATTGTCTAACATTGTCCTGGTTAATAAACATAAGCAGGAGACATGATGTTTTCTCTGTCCTTCTAATTCATCACCTAATATATAATAAATTTGTTGTTGTGGGGAATGTAACTCAGTGTTAGAGCTGTTGTCTTACATACCTAAAGCCTCAGGTTGGATCTTCAATGCTGTAAATACTGACAATGACAGATTGTTGTTAACATTAACTGAGTTACATAATCTTTGTTAAAATTTTATTTATTTTTATGTTATGTGCATTGGTGTTTTACCATGAGTGTTGGGAAACTGCCATGGAGTTGGCTGTGAACTGCCATGTAGACACTGGGAACTGAAACCAGGTCCTCTAGAAGAGCAGTCAGTGCTCTTCACTGCTGAGCCTTGTCTCCAGCCCAGAGTTACATAATCTTTACTGCATGGATTCAGTATACTGAGGACTATTCTAAGTGCTAGGAGCTGAAATATAGCAAAGTTTCTTCCTTTTTAAGAGGGTAGCAGATACATGCCAGCAAATACAGACATAAGATAATAAATATAGCCAGGCATGGTGACACTATGTTTTAATTCAGCATTTGAGAGGCAGAGACAGAGGGATCTCTGTGAGTTCTATGTCAGCCTGGTTTACACAGTGAGTTCAAAGCCTGCCAGGGAGAAGAAAGAAATTTCCATGAACAGAAAAACAAGACTGAGGGAAGATTCTAGGTAGAGCAAATATGGGGGAGAAAAGGAAAGATAAAGAATGTGGGTTTTGGGCTGGAGAGATGGCTCAGCAATTAAAGGCTAGGCTCACAACCAAAAGCATAATAATGTGGGTTCTTAGCTACTCCCCCATCTCCAACACAATTGGTGAGTTGTTTTACAACAAGTTCTCAGAGGTATACGTTAAAAAAAAATCTCATAAATATGTTAGCTTCCCTACCAAATATTAATGACATTTGAACTGGGGGTAATAAAAAATCCTTGCTCTCTTTAAATGGGATGAGTTTAGATACACGTAAGGTAATTTTTAATTACTGCTTAGGATTTCATTCACATGTGAATATTCTGTTTTAATAAAATCCACCCCACCCCCTCCCATCCGACTCCTCCCATACACCCACAGCACCACTTTTCCCTCCCAAGAATTTTATATTTAATTTTTCAAATGCTTTATCTGGAAACAATTTCAAACTCCTCTTTCTTTATGAGACAGGGTCTTCCTTTGGATAGTCCCTGCTTTCCTGGCACTTGCCATGTACAGCAGGCTGGCCTCAAAGTCAGTTTGCTGGCCTCTGCCTCCCAAGTTCTAAGATTAAAGGCATTTGCCACCAAGCCCAGATAATTTCCAACTTCTTACAAGTTGCCAAAATATTGCAGTTGATACAGACACATCTTCATCCTCGGATATGAATACCTTATAGGACCATAGCACAATGATCACAGCCAGGAAACTATCATGGACATAAAACCATTCTAACTGCACAAACCCTGGGAAAATCTTCACTTTTCTGTCTTTCCCTAACCTTGATACTTTGAAAGGAGAATGGTGCTGTCGTTTTGTTAAATGTCTCTCAGTGTGAGTCCTCTGATGTTTTCACAGCTACATTCATGGTTTTTTTGTTTTGTTTCGTTTTGAAACAAGGTCTCATTACATCATAGCCTTGGCTGGCCTGAAACTCACAGAGATCCACATGTCTCTGCCTCCAAGTACTAGAATTAAAGGCATGTGCCACTACACCAGGCACAGCCACACCCTTAAGTCATGGATTTGGGGCAAGAATGCCAGGGAAGAAATGTTGCCTCTGCCCCTTGGCCTACCTCAACAGCGGCATATAACGCATCTCATTAACAGTGATGTACTTGTAACAGTTGGTCTCACAACTCTAAAAAGACTCTTCTTCCCTCGATTTTCAGTGACTGATTTTAGGAAAAACACGCTGAGATTACAGTAGCATCTTGCTTCAGAGCATGTTGCTACCTCTAATTGCAGAATCTCTAAATGACCCTGCAGGGAACAATTATCACTGTGGTGTTTGCCAAATGGGGACTTTCCATTTCTACCATTCCTTCTACTTATGTTACTGAATAAGTTTTCCCTTCTCATTTATCTACTCAATTATTTATAGTGGTATGGATGCACAGTATTCATTTTATATTATAGCTTCTAACCCATTGTTAGTATTACCTTGTTACTCAAATTATCCAAAATTTGGCCATGGCCTTGGGTTGCCTTCCGTGTTCTTTGCATTTCAATTATACATACATGCTTTTTTTCCTGTTATTTCAATATGCTCCAAGCTCTGTTGTAATTCCTCTG